AATCTAATGTAATAGGAAGATTTTGGTGTTAATAAGGAAGGTGGTGATGTATTTTTCTATGCATTACTGTGCTCATGGATAAATTAATCAGCAATTTATTTCATATATTTATTTATCCACATTTATTATGTATTTCGCAAATGACTAGAAAAAATATAAAATTGCATCATCATATAATGAATTACTGTTGTATTTATATTTTGGATGGACAAATAGCACCTAGCATTTTCAAACAAAATGAATTCTATACATCACTTTAATTGCTCACAGAACACAAAATTAACTTATGCCATCTATCCTACATTGCAACCAATCCAAAGGGAAATGTCATATACTAACCACAAAACCCTAAGTGCACTTCTTGATAGATAAAACATGGAATACATTTGAATTGACAAATAATTTTGCTATCAAAAGCTCTTCAGGTATATATATCCCTTCACACCCTCTTGACTAGAGATGCAACGTACACCCAAACGGAAATCACACAAGCTGGGTATGGATTTAAGTGGACTGCCAGTGCAAATTCTGCATTGGGAGACTGGGTAAGGTGGACCCCCGTACTATGCACTGCTTCCACTACATTTGCCAGGTTGCTGTAGCCCTGATGCACACATACGCCACACACCTGTAAATCAATAATGGTTTTCTTAAAAAGAAAATCAAAAAGAAAAAGAAAGGAAAAGAAAAGGACAAAAATAGACAAGAAAAAAGGGGGAAAAAAGAGAGAGAAAGAGAAAGAATAAAATATATACATAAATATAATAACTAGAATAATGGTGATAATAATGATGATGAAGACGATGACAATGATGATGATACTAAAGCTGTCTCACATTCTTAATATGAAACTTTTTAACTTAATCTCTTAACATTAACATGGTTAACACATACAAACAATACTTAATGGCAAACTTGCATTATGATCTCACCTTGTGCGAAGTCATGATTGAGGCTAGTTGTGTGAGATCTGTCGAGGATGATTTGCCAGTTGCACGTGGCTCTTCTAGGCCTCTTACCAGCTTGCGTAGCACTGAGATTGCATGCCTGTTCCACGGAGTTCTGAAGAGTAAGAGACTGTTGATAGAAGGCATAGTAAAAGCTGAGAGAAACATATTATACCAAGCCACAAGGAGCAAAGAGAGAGAGAGAGAGAGAGAGAGAGAGAGAGAGAGAGAGAGAGAGAGAGAGAGAGAGAGAGAGAGGAAGAGGAAGAGGAAGAGGAAGAGGAAGAGGAAGAGGAAGAGGAAGAGGAAGAGGAAGAGGAAGGGAAAGAGAGGCAGAGACAGACAGAGGTAGAGGCAGACAGAGGCAGAGACAGACGGAGGCAGAGACAGACGGAGACAGAGACAGACAGAAGCAAAGACAGATAGAGGCAGAGACAGACAGAGACAGACAGAGGCAGAGGCAGACAGAGACAGAGACACAGAGAGAGACAGAGACACAGAGAGATAGAGACACAGAGAGACAGAGACACAGAGAGACAGGCAGAGGAAGACACACAGAGATAGAGACAGAGACAGAGAAAGAGACAAGCAGAGCCAGACAGATAGAGCCAGACAGGCAGAGCCAGACAGGCAGAGCCAGACACACAGAGACAGAGGAAAGGGAAAGGGAAAGAGAAAGAGAAAGAGAGAGAAAAGGAGAAAGAGGATAAGGTATCTGAAGACACATTTACCTTTGCACGCTCCTCCATTTCATGATGGCATCCCGTAGAGTGATCTCCAGCCTCTCCTTCAGTTGGTCCATTTGGTTGGTGTCAACAGCGGGGAAGAGGATATTCTGGGGCTGGACACTGGGGAGGCCTGGGTCCAGCACCATTTTGGAATAAAATGATCGCCACCCAGACCCACCTACATCAAAGTTCACCCTAGGGGGGTCGTCATACTTCTGAACATTGGCCCATATCTGTGAGTGTATCCATTATATTACCTTAACTTATGACAATGGTAAATTCATAAGAAATGTTCATGCAATCGTATTTCCTGCACAGACTAAACACACATACTGGCATGTTCATTTCAGTACCTTTATACTTTATAAATATACCTTTATATTCTCCTTCTCCTTCTCAACTAATAAAAAAACATTTTCATATCTACTCACATTTTCTTGATTGACAAGGATGTACACGGCACCTAAAGGACTAAATGGGTCTCGAGCATCATAACACTGAGCTGTTGAGGGATTCCAAATTCTCCAAGTTCCTCTATCTTCTTTAGTCAGTACATAGCAAGTTAATCCTTCTGGTATTCCACTACCTATAAAGAAAATAAAACCATTATAAAATTCTCAAATGTACATCTGTAATAAATATAAACATTTACTTGACATTAACTCTATGTTCTTATGATCATGGAAAGTGTTATAAGCATTTTCTTTTTTCTCAGACATACTCAAAGTACAAATATCATAGACAGAAAAGAGGACTAACCAATTAATAGGAAAGCTTCTTTTCCAAGGTGTAGGAAGAAATTTGTCAGCAGAACTGCATGTTCCTCCTCATCACCAGTCAACATCGTTAGGAATTGCTGTAATACCAACACCACATAAGCTATCCTAGTCTAAGAAATTATTCATATTTTGACTTCTACACCTGACAACACTAAAGTTACTGTAACATCCGCGTAAAATCTTTATCATCAATGTAATATCTAAACACCTAGTAGTGGATTTGCAGCAAAACACCCTTCACCAATCATGGAAAAAAGAAACAACAAAAGAAATGTTCTTAATAACAATTTGAGCAAATAAATCATACTAACCTCCGAATTAGCCCAGATATCACAGGAACCTGGAAAGAGTGTCATGTCTGCTAATGATGGAATAAGGGAAACATACCAAGCCACTCGCTTTGCAGTTTCTTCCTGATCTTCTCCTGTAAATTAAAGAAAAAAACAGTTTTGTAATGACTGAAAAAAGGGGGTTGCAGGTGGTATATGATGAATAGTAGCATTCCTTTTTTTTTTATTATTATTATTGCCTAACACCAGAAGAAGTTAAACATTATTCACAATATCACTCTGAGCTGTATATATGTATGTATGTATGTATGTATGTATGTATGTATGTATGTATGTATGTATGTATGTATATATGTATGTATGTATGTATATGTATATGTAAATATATCAATATATAAGTATATATGTATGTATATGTGTACATATATATATATATATATATATATATATATATATATATATATATATATATATATATATATATATATGTATATACATATATATATACATATATATATACATATATATATACATATATATATACATATATATGCACATATATACATAAACATATATACTCATATATACACATACACGCGCACACGCAAACACACACGCACACGCACATGCACACGCACACGCACACGCACATGCACACGCACACGCACACGCACACGCACATGCACACGCACACGCACACGCACACGCACACACACACGCACACACACAAAAATATAATATGTTTTTATTACAACTACTCTTTTGTTCCAATTTAAACTTACCAATAAGCTCTTGCGGTGGTCTCAAAGGCCTTATGAAGCGATTCAAAGACACCAGCTTTCCTGACAGATCGAGAACATGTGTCCGGAAATGACGGCGTGAGTATCTCGAGCTCAGGGACGCCACCCACTCACGTCCTGCACTTACGACCTCTTCTGGTTCACTGGATTCGAAATTGGCCTGAAAGAATCACCGTAACTGATGTTAGTTTGCATTCTTGCTTTGGGGTTTTTGAAGATTTTTTTTTTTTTCTTTTGGGACTCTTTTGGGAAGAAGAAATATAATAAAAAGCATAACTTTGCAACACTGAATGTACTGTTTGCCAATAGGATATCAATCTAATTTCTTTTTAAATAAAAGATAATAGTGAAATGATTTTATATTATTCCATCTATGAGACAAAACTATGAGTACTACATTTGTGGATGAATATGTTTTATACAAGTAACTTCACAGAGTAATAAATAATTGATACATTTTAATGAATTAATTTTAAAATTCACAGTCTAGTCAAGAAATACAAGCTAGTATCATAAATTATTTATATTCAGCTTCTGTACAATATGACTCTTGAAGGTAACACGCATCCCCATCAGTAAAAGTTACAAAGAGTTTATTCAATATAATTCATGTTTCAGCCTACTTTAAGTGACTTAAACTACTTTTTAAGAAATCCAACATGCCACAATCCAAGTGCTACAATTGTAGTTTAACCAATGCTAAATTTAACATAATGTCAGTGTATCAACCTACTTTAAGTGGTTCAGGTGGTGGTAATGTGGGTTCCAGTGTCAAGTAGATGGATAAGTGAGTTGCAGATCGGCTCAGCTCTGAGTTTGTGAGTGGCATGCCTTGGTTGAGAGAGGAACTCATATCTCTGCTGTAACCTAGAAGCACCACAGGCTCCTCCAGGGAAAATGTGCCTTCAATCTGTGAATGAGATCATTATAAAGAATTGCCTCTTGAAATATAAATAATAAAAATAATAAAAAAAAGAATCCAGAGAGTGAAAAAGAATGACAAAGTGAGAGAGAGAGAGAGAGAGAGAGAGAGAGAGAGAGAGAGAGAGAGAGAGAGAGAGAGAGAGAGAGACAGAGACAGAGACAGAGACAGAGACAGAGACAGAGACAGAGACAGAGACAGAGACAGAGACAGAGACAGAGACAGAGACAGAGACAGAGACAGAGACAGAGACAGAGACAGAGACAGACAGAGACAGACAGAGACAGACAGAGAGACAGAGAGAGAGACAGAGAGAGAGACAGAGACAGAGACAGAGACAGAGACAGAGACAGAGACAGAGACAGAAAGAGAGAGACAGAAAGAGAGAGACAGAAAGAGAGAGAGACAGAGAGACAGACAGACAGACAGACAGAGAGGTCAGGACTGAGGCAAGGAGGGAGGAATAGAAAATCAAAAACAGAACCAAACCTGCCTTAGCATTAGAATATATTGTAGAAAAAGGAATCTTCAAAGAGCCAAGCCAGCGCTTCTCAATGCGATGGTATACTGTTGACTCTCTGAGACGGTCATCTTCCAGGAGGTCATGGATGACTTCATCAAAAAGATGGATATAAACATTATCGGTGACAGACTGCAGGCTCGAGGGCGAAAAATTGTCATTTGGAGCCCTGTCAATTGATAAAGTTTATAAGACAGTTTTTCTTTATCATGAAAATAACTGTAAAATAAGTAGGATATATCTGATTTAAGAAGAAAAAGAAAAAGAAATTTTATATATATATATATATATATATATATATATATATATATATATATATATATATATATATATATATATATATATATATATATATATATATATATATATATATATATATATATATATATATATATATATATATATATATATATATATATATATATATATATGTATATATATATATATGTATATATATATATATATGTATATATATATATATATATATATATATATATATATATATATATATATATATATATATATATATATATATATATATATATTATATATATTATATATATTATATATATTATATATATTATATATATTATATATATTATATATATTATATATATTATATATATTATATATATTATATATATTATATATATTATATATATATATATATATATATATATATAAATATATATATATATATATATATATATATATATATATATATATATATATATATATATATATATATATATATATATATATATATATATCCCGGTATGGCAAAACCAAGCCAAGTGACTAACTTGAATGGGAAAGTAAGTTGCTGATTCCATGTAGGGTTTGGTCCTTCAGCCACACTTGTTCTCATAACAGACCTCTGGAACGTAACCTCCACAAATGGACGTACAAAACTGCTTCCCTGGATTACCTCTGGGGCATCTGCAAATAGTGAAGTTTGTGTTTATATTTTGTCTCCGGTTTGTTTTTAACACTTGTTCAGCTCCTAAGCTTTCAGGCTACTGCCAAACCCTGAGGCACAGTGGACACCTACCTTGCATCCCTGGAGTAGTTGGAGACGATTCCTGACGTACTGGCACATGGAAGGCCCTTGCAATGTGCACAATCAACCGAACATTCTGATCTCCAAGGGCTGCACCACGTACCTGGTCCCTCTTCTTCCTCTCTGGCTTCAGAGGCCTTCGTGCTTTGAATACTGAGAGGAGGGATGTTCCAATGGTCCTATAAAGAGATTCAGTTTTGTAGAAAATAAATAATGAGAACATTATGCCTTGAGGACCTGTCTTACATGATGAAATACTGCATCAGAAGCTTTAGACTCCATACACCCAGTATTTGACTACAGGATCATATTTTCTGATCATAAAATGATAGTTCCCTTTCAAATACCATCTATAAAATAGAAAGGAGAAGGCAAATCTACTCATTTTGTCTCAAAGGAACCTCACACCATTTATCAAACACCTGAAGAAATTAAACATTATTCACAAAATCACTCTGAACTTAATCAAACAAGCCATGTTTTATAAATTCAAATCACAAATAACTAAAAACATGGTGTGCGAGTTTGCAACAAATTTCAACCAAAGACTATTTTATCATGAAGAGGCGTTAAAACATTCCACAGCCTCTATCTACCATTACCACACATAAATTTCCAGCTACTTAATCAAGTTAAACAAAATACCCCACTCACACTCACCCAATATCAGGAATTCTCTCCTCTCTCACCAAATCTTCCAGTTTGGGCGTAAAGCTGGCTTGGGCATAGCGTTGTAGCATGTGTCTCCTGAGCGATGCCAGGAGTTTTTCCACGCGTTCCCATCGCTTGTCAAGACCCCAGAGGTGAGATTCACCCTCTGTGGAGTCACCTTGCTCACTCCCCATCTTGTTTTCATATTTCTGTTCATAACCAACAATAATATATATTCTGCATTCTAATTCATTCAGAATGAATGTATACAGGATATTTGCATATACACCTGTTCTTATACACTGCATTTGACAGAAATTAGGACACACATTTTTGCCTCAAAAATGTCTCAAAAAATATGCCATCAAATCCAGTAAATAAACATGCATAAACATGGTGTGCGTGTGCGTATGCATGTGCGTGGTGTGCGTGTGTGTGCATGCGTGTGCGTGCATGTGTGTATGTGTGCATGTGTGGGTGTGGGTGTGGGTGTGGGTGTGGGTGTGGGTGTGGGTATGGGTGTGGGTATGGGTGTGGATGTGGGTGTGGATGTGGGTGTGGGTGTGGGTATGGGTGTGGGTGTGGGTGTGGGTGAAGGTGTGAGTTTAGATGTGGGTGTGTGGGTGAGGGTGTGTGGGTGAGGGGGTGTGGGTGAGGGTGTGTGGGTGAGGGGGTGTGGGCGTGGGATTGGGTGTGTGCATGTGGGTGTGTGCAAGTGCTCATGTGTGTTTGTGAAAGTTTTACCAAAACAATCTGTAATTCCAGTGAACTATCATCATCAAAAACATAATAAATTGTTACTGTGTTTTGTGTCTCTGTTTCATAGTGATCTACGATTCATACCATAACCCTATAATCCTTCAGAATGAAACCTACATGACACATCAGACAAAAGAGTAGTAACCCAAACGCACAAACAAATTAATTAAAAAACAAATCATCATAAAACAAAGAGAAATACTCAAGTACGAAGACCTTTGCGAATAAATGAACTCACTTCTAAGGTCTTCCGCAAAACCTGCGAATCAAAGGCCGGCACAAGACACAGGCCCTTGAACTCGGGGACTTCACTCGCTCGCAGCTGCAATACCCTCAAGCGCACATTAGCATCCAAATCAGCCTCTGTGCAAAAATCACCTTCACATCGGTCGATCTCGAAATGGTTTGAAGGCTTTGAGATACCAGCTGCAGCTTTCTGAAAGGCAAATCGAGATAGAAATGAGAAATTCATGAGAAGAGACAGCAATATTAATAATTATAATTCATCAATAGAAACAGTATTAACAATATATTGATGATTTACTTACTCACATCTGTTTGTTGTTTCTTAATCACTTTGCAAACAGTGTGACCTTGTCTAATCTCATTTTAAACAATATCATTAAAACATCTTGGTCATTTTTACACTTTGCTTCAGTTTCAGGAAGTAATGTATTTGTTTCCTTTATGTGGAATACACAGTTATATTCTTTTACTGTAATTAATTAATTCATGATTAAAAAGAAAAAAAAAAACACAAAATATACAGAACTGACTTTTGGAAACTTGCTCTATTGTCAGGTTTCCTTTTTATTTAATTTATCTTTTCATATTTTGATTTTTCTACTCTTTCATTTTCTCATTTTATCTATCAAATGGAGCATTTCTGGTAACTCTGGTGGTCATTCCTTTCCATACCATCCCATTATATTCTTAAGGCACAGGAAGCCTACCTGTAAATGGTTCATGAGCACTGCATTTCCTGGGTCATTTGGGTCGATGTGGGCATTTTCAAGCCATTTTTTAACTGCTGCTGGGTCTGCACCAGGATGGAGTCGGGACTGGAGCAAAAAATAAAATAAAATAAAATAGAAAAAAATTAAAATAAATAAATAAATAAATAAATAAATAAATAAATAAACGAAAAAAAAATCATTGTTAGGGTTATTATTTCTTTGGACAATAAGATTTTTCTTTACAAGAGTCTCATATAAATGCAAGGTGAAACATCAAGGTCATCTGTAAATATTACCAATAAGCAAAAAGAAAATCTAGGCTATGATATTTGTCCCGTCAAAAGAAATCAAGCACTGGAAAAATAATCCTTTTGGTTTTCCAATTAGACATAAGTTTGAAGAAGCTATTTACCTGATTATGAAAAAAAAAAATTAGAAATCTTTGTTATCAGTAACAGCCTCACTACAACGAAAAAAAATTATACACACAGGCAAGTTGGACGAGGCAACACCAGATCCCGGAAGAGGTCCTGTCGGTGCCAACACTTCCCCATCCTTGCTGAGAGCCCAGCCAAGGCGGTAGCGGATGTTACCACAGGTCATTGCGGATCCAAATTCTGTGTTTATGAGGCCACTCCCTACTCCTCCATGGTTGTGGGTCACAGCCTGATCAAGGAGCATTTCTTTTTGAAATCATTACAATATACTGCACACCATGTTTTTATATATGTGTTCTTTGTTTCTGATATATCATGGCTTAGGGGAAAGCATTTAAGAAAATTCCAGAGCAAATTCTTCTATCTCTCAATAAACTCATATGGTTTCACGAACTGAAAACAGTACTACAAAAAGAATACGCAAAACCAGTAACAAAAACAAAGACAAAAAAAATTTACCATAAACCACACAGCAACTCCCAACCTACAACAAACAAAAAATCTCACCTGACTCCCACTGAACTCGATCATCTCAAACTCTTCCTTGCGCAGACTTGTCTTGCTTGGGATGGGGAGATAGGCTGAGGCAATGATGTTCTGTCTCAAGCTTGCGCCTTCAACCACCTCCAAGGTAATGCTCCGCGGCCAGGATGACAGGGCCATGCGGTACGTTTGACCAATGTGAAGCGTAAAGTCATTGCCCAGTGTTGCGGAGGCTGTCTGTGTCACCAGCTTGTTGTTTATGAGGATCTGAGAGCAGTTAATGATATAAGGATCTTATATTCACTTGATACCTACTGTAAAGATACTGGATTAAAATATGACATCTCCATTTGTCAATTTGCTGTACTTGCATGCAAAAGTTTTGTTCCATGACTAAAACAAATTGGCAAAAACTGTAACAAATTATAATAATAATATGATGGAGAATAACAATAACAGCAACAATAACAATTACAATAACAATAACAATAACAACAACAATAATAATAACAATAACAATAATAATAATAATAATAATAATAATAATAATAATAATAATAATAATAATAACAATAATAATAATAATAACAACTGTAAATCAGGCATCGGTCAACATTACCAATCTCACAACAGAAACAAACAACATAGATTCCTGACAGGATATGAGGCATGTGATCTTAACCAACAAAAGATAGGAAATTCTGATCAGCAACATGCAACCTCATACATGTAAATACATTTCTCACATCAAAGTCAATATCTACTTACTTTAATCCACACTCTTGTTTTGTTAACAGCTTGCCTCCTTCGCTTTTCCGGATCAGCACAAAGATTAGCCTCTGTTACTGATGAAGACTGTGTTAGCTCCAGGTGCACTATGGGCTCTCCTGGTGGCCTTCTGGTACGAGAGAAGACCTCCAACACTTCTAGCTCAATCTAGTCAAAAGTTGATCTTAGTTTGTAGTTACAGACTCTTGAGGTTACTTCATTAATACTTACATGCATATTCCTCATCAATGAAATTCATCTGTGCTGTATACAGAGCAGGATATCATTGGTAAAAAAAACATATTTTCTGACCTCAATGCAAATACTAACCTTGTGTTTTTCCACCGATGTAGGAGGCTGCGGTTTTGGTAATTCTGGAGTGGATAACAAAGTCTCATCCTGAGCTGCCTGGAGGATACTGCCTTTGATGTCCTCACACATTTCAGACTTGCTTCGCTGCTGCTGCCGTTTCTTGGCTTCTTTCTTTAGGGGAATGTCATCTTCAATCTCTACTTACATTATATTTTGTCGTAAGAAATATATACATGAAGTTTAGTTAAGATACTATAACTATAAGTATATGAGATTTTAGTTTGCTGATAACTGACAAATTATTCTGAAATTTCACATTACACTTAGTCAAATCACAATTATATGCATATTTCACTTCAATCTAATCACCTATTTAGTATCAACTTCACAAGAGAGTTCCTCTGTCAAATCTAAAAATCTATATCTTTGCTATTACTTATAAAGGACAGACAACATACCCTTTTCTTGTGAGCAACCTTCCACTCTGCCATCTCCTTTTCATACTTCTTCATTTTCTTTGCAAAATCTTCTTCGTATTCCTCCAAAATTTCCTTCATCTCTTCCTCTAGCTCCACTTTCCTCTTCTCCTCTTCCTCTTCTTTATCAACTTCCTCCTTCTTGATCACCAACTTCAAGGCTGTGCTCTGGTACTTGTTTTTCTTACGGAGATTCTTTATGTTCTTCCAAGTCTTAAGGATACTCATTAGCAGATTCCTGTCCTTCTCGGCTTCTGCTATGAACTCCTCGCGGCATTCCTTGATCTCCTGGCGGTAGATCTCTAGTCGCCTTGCCGTGTCAATCTCATCATGAACTGACCTGTGGTGCTTCCGTCCTGGGGCAATGTGATGGAGCTTGGCCAGTGCTTGCCGTAATACCTTTGTGAGATCCATCAGAATTATATCAGCAAAAAAATATTAGTCACTTAGGCACATATGATATTCCTTTATACAGTTTTAGCTAGTATCTTTTGATGTACTCTAGTAAAGTATGCATTATTCATATATACACAGGCAATGTATACTTTACTATATCTTTTACTCAATCACTGAAATCTATGCATTAAGACACTATATTCAGTTCTTACTAAAATGTTTTGATGTATTGTAGTAAAGCATGAATTATTTTATATAACATCCCTTTTTTTTCTTAAACAGTTCAAGCTGTATTTTAGGACAGCTACAATAAAAGAAATGTATGCCCAGAATAAATAATAACAGTTTATAAGTAAAACTCAACTACACACACCATAAGTATGAACACTAAGTCTTTCTTTCATTCACTGCCGATTAGTTTTAGCAAGTTTTCATACAACAAGAGATATATATCCTCAAATCAAATATCAAAATTACTTTGTAGGAGTAGTCTCTATCTTTCCATTTTTCATACAAAATTCAAACAACTTCAAAACTTCACACATGCATAAATGAACCACAATGTCCCACCCCAAGTTTATTCTGCAGGATCTTCGTCTTGTTGACACGCATCCTCTCTGTATAGGTGTCATAGTCCTGTGCGAGCTGAGATGCCAGAACGTGCTCAGGTGAGAACAGGGAGTGGTGAAGAAAGGACAGCTGATGAACTTCAACATCTAAGACACCCCCTTCATCTTGACTAGGAGTGTGTAGAAATTCACCCGGTCTTGGCTGGAAGAAAATGCAGATTACCAACCATTGCCAACTATATCCCGTAAGTTGAAATTACCTGATGGTTAGGAGGTAATTTTAAATGGCACAACAAATTAAGTAAGTAAGCCAATGGAGAAAGTATTTGTAATAATTTTCTTGCTGTAGCCATGAGTATAAGGGGTCACCAAGCAACAGATCCCATACTAGCCTACACTAGTTTTAGTTGATTATAGTTAGACAGCAAAACACTATAGCAGCATTAAAAGTCTCCAGGTGCTAATCAATAAACCTATCTTACAAACAGTCTAGTTATAAATAAATATAAATACAAATATACTACAAGTAATGCAACAATATATATACAAAACATATTTCATCTCTTTTCTTCTAATTCTATTTTCTCATTCTCCAAAAGATAAACCAACTCTTTTATTTTACTTACTCTCACAAATACTGCCAAAGGTTCTGGATGTGCATCACCATCTGATGACAGATGATGAAAGAACTGATCATTGATTGGGTTATCCTGTCTATCAAGGTACCCTGTCTCTGAAAACCAATGCCTGAAATAAACAAACAACTTTTATTTGTGTGCAGTCAAACTAATTTCTTGACATATTATCCCCTATGGTCCTATTCATTCTTAACATGTCTTACTGTATTATTACAAGCTTCACTATATGCCATGATCATGCAAGGCCTGTCAAAAACTGGTGGGCTCTTTTCCACCACTTCTCTGTTACCAATTAGATGTATGTAATATCCACTAATACATCTGGTACTGGCAGGCTATATCCACAATATCCTTTCCATACTCATCTTCCTCTTGTAGGCCTCCCCTCCCTGACAGACCCAAACAGTCGTTTCTTCTCTCCCACATTCATCCTCCAAAGACATTTGCTTCCTGGTATATCATACATCTACATACTTATAAAGACATCAAAATATGTATTTTATTGTTTTCCATGGTGCATTAAATACTCTTGAAATTTAAAAGAAAAAAAAAAATCAGGACTTTTTTTGCAACTGGGAGGGCTTGTAGGTTTAGGGATAATTATTTCAGAAACACAGGAACCTCTACCTAAAAATGATTAGAAAGTCACTTTTTATATCAATTATGGCTTGATTTCATGAACACTGTCTCTTACCCATAACAAAAAATATCTATTGAATAATTACATATCCAACTTTACAAGATCTCAAGGCAATGTACTTCACATGGAAACAAAAAATACAGAACTTCAAATTTCTACTTCATCCTCACCTGTTCCCCTGTCGAAGAATTCTGTTTTCAATTATGTTGATATTCGTCTGGGTAATGTATGGCTTCTCTCCTATATAAAGTCCTTCATCTTCAAGGTCTCTCACCTCCGCTCCTTCTTCAATCTTACTGTGCAACTTGCCTTGAATATAAAAGCATCAATCACTATAAATATCTTCAATTATAAACAGCTGGTGCACTACTGCGCTGGAGACTAGTGAAAGAAAAACATGTTCCATAGGTTATGAAGATTTGTCAAAAGGAATGTAATGTATATTATGACAATTCTGTTTAACAAATATTAAAAAGCTTTGAATTCTAGATATCACCCGCACAAGTTTCTCAAAGCTACAGATACAAAGGAAATAATCTTACTTGGTAAAGCTGATGGTACAAATAAATTCACTTCATCATTTGCACACCTCTCATGGTATGGGATATATTTGGCTGGAACGCACTGTGAAACTAACTGCATCTGTGGCACAACTAAGGCTAGAGTCTCGTCTTCCTCGTCTGTGGAATATGAGTTCTTACTTTTACAGAATACACCAAAATTTACGAATAAATATATATACTAATTCTATGTGAAAATAAACCTTAAACATATCATTAACAATGAACAGTAAACAGCATGACATTAAAGTTCAACTCTCAGTCACATTTAAAGACAATGATAATCATTCTCAATGGAGAATGATGAAATTATCCTTTCTGATAGTTCATCATAATCAAAAAAGCTCAAACAAAAAATTCATCAATCACACCTTAGAAACACTATAGCAAGTTTAATAAATGGCAAGTAATCTCATTCAAGATTTTACATCAAAGTAGATCTTATTCAAGATTTTACAACAGAGTAGATCTTAAGGAAAGGAATAAAGTAAACAAAACTAATTAGGCTAGACTACACATGACACAGAGATGTCATCCTGGCATGTGGGGTGGTCTACTATACCATCCCTGCACAAATGCGTTAATGGTAACTTACAAATCATGACTTTAAACATCAATATAGTAAGATACAAAACAAAATAAAACTTATGCTTATCATTAACAATACCAATAGAAAAAGATTCACAGATTTCTTTACAATCTATAAACTATTCATACTATCTAACTATTATCAAATGCCAAGATATTCATTTGAAACGAAAACCAAATCTGTAAATATCATTCACTATCAACCTTAGTGGGAATAAACACAACAAACCTTCTGGCTCTTCATCTTCTTCCTCCTCATCTCCTTTCTTACTCCTTCCTCCAGGAGATTTGGCAGGAGATCGAACAGCAGGTTTGGGTTCTAGTTTCTCAGGGGACTTTCCTGTTACAAAAAGAAAACAGTAACTAACTATATATGTTGGATAAAACAGATACATATTTTGATACAAAAAAAAAAAATCCTATAATAAAAATATGGCTTTGATTTTTCAGCTTTTATTGAACACATGTATTAAGAAAGTATCTGTATAAACTCACAGCTATTTCCATGCACTGAAATTAGTAAATAATGAAGCTATCTATAGTTTGACAAATTAAATATTACTGATTTACCTGAAGTGAAGAAAGCCTGGCTCTCCACACGTGATGCAATTCTTGCCTGAAAAAATATTCTTTCTTTCACATTTTGCAGCAGATAACTTAATCAAACATAACTCAAAAATATAAAAAGGAATTCAAAAGATATCACATGGCATTCTATATTCAACCAGAAAAAAAAATGGCAAAGTCACTTTAGCAATAATATTGAGTAAAATATGCAGAAAGCAGAGAGCAAAAATCTTTAAACTCGGTAATAGAAAACACAATCCGGTACCTGTGCTGCTGCTTTTATCCACCTTGTCTTAGGATCCACAGCTTCTGGTTCCCAATCACCTGTGGGCTTATGTGTGCAAGTGCAAAATTACATACGAATCTAAGGATAAGCTATGTATGTTCAAATGTGAAAACGCTGGAAAGCACTCTTTAAAAGAACTCACTCTACATTCCTTGTGAAATTAAAAATCCAAACAAACACTCTGACAAAGCTGTGTCATCAAATTTGGCGCAAATTTAGTATAAAGCTCTAGCATCCTACAAGAAGTCTTCTGGAAAATCTTACTTCATCAAATCTGGAAGCAGGGCGGCTACTCAGCTTCTTTCTCAACCTTCCTGGCCGTCTCCTCTCTGTGCCGCTTGTGCTTGGTCCTTCTCCTTCCAACGGGTTTTCTTGCTGGAATCCAGATTACGGATTCAATCTATGACTAATGTTTTTGTCTAATGTTTAAGAATACGATGGTTTTCTTGTAAGACCTGTGTCAACGACTGGCCATTTTGCCAGTCACCCAGGCCTTTGGTGGAGTGCCAATACCTCCACTATGTATATTCTAAAAAGACAAAGCTTCCAGACTTAACTGGTGGTTTATCATGAATTATGGAACCAGTCCATGTTCTATCTTGCCAAGTGTTTATGGTAAAGGGGCCATAGCAATCTTTTAACACTGCAACACTATCAGGCTGGATTTAACATTATAAGCCTTCCATTATAAGTTTCCAGTGGATTTGGAGACAACATAATCAAAAATAACTATGATAATAATCTTAGCTGAAATCCCTTAATAGTTTAGTTGTAAACTTCCAATCATAAAATAATTGCACCAAAACTGTATCTGCATACTTTTCAATATCTAAATGTCTGTATATCAATACAGCTTTATTCAAACTGCTTGTTTTGTTGGATCTATGAACCTAATTAGTCTAATATATATATAATTTAAAGAAACTAGGTTAATGAAAGGTAAATTAAAGCAAATAAATCAAATTACAATCAGAAATCAGTATATTTTACAGTTTATTTATCGAAGTCTTTCTTGATTATTATATTTTGGACTAAAGCCTTAGTCCAATTTACATCATGTTCAAATATAAAATAATCTAGTCTCTATGAAAAAGTAATTCTGTCCTTCAGAGTATTATTGTATTTAGTATTCAAGACAACAAAATTTAAATCTGGATATATATCTTCTCTTTCAGGAGTAGTCACTTCTGGAAATATATGAGTGATCAAGAATTCAAAGATCTGGATATATATCTTCTCTTTCAGGAGTAGTCACTTCTGGAAATATATGAGTGATCAAGAATTCAAAGACTTATTCCATCTTGATAAACCCTAACTCTGCAATCAGTGCACTACTCAGTGTCTGTGAAATATCATCCCCGACTTACCTGAGAGACAGCTGGTATAAAGCTGGTGACCTCATCTTCTTGCTGTTTTTCCACATCTTTTGTTCTCATTTTAACTTTCCAGGAAGCTTACTTCACATTACAGCCACTGCATTCCAGGTCGTGGTCATGCTGAAATAAAAAATGTATATAGCTACATATCAGAGAACCGGATATCAATATTCAAATTACTACATAAAGATTTAGCATTAATAATTTAACCAATAAAATCGGAAGGTCTTTATGCTTGTGTTACATAAATGACAAAAGATTATATCCACTTCATTAACACATAAAGAGTCAAAGGCAAAATTGGCATCATCACAAAACCCTGAACTTTTTTTTAATTAGTTGAACTCCTAAACCGCAACTTCAAAAATCACAAAAAATAAATAGGCCTACAATCCTGAAATGAAGCCCTACCATAGGAATGGCCACAAAAAAATTGCAACACTTTTGGCAGAAATAACTTTTTTTTCCTTTTTTTTTTACTCCAAAGAAATTGACAATGTGCATTTTGAGATATTGAAGGAATTAGGGGAGGGGGGGATCAACCCAATACAATAGAATAATACAAAATTACTGTCATAGGGTAATATATGTGCAAATGCCTTTAAAACTTGCAATCACTATAGGCAATTCTTTACAGTACAGACACACTTGTCAGAAACTCCCCAACCCCACATCCCAAAATTAATTCAACAATGTAAACTGCCATGTATGGGAGGGTTGATGGGAGGGGGGGTCTGCCTCCCAAAACCCACCAGGAAACATTGTCTTCATCTCATTATGCTCAGCAAGACAGAGCTGAAAACTAGGCCTTTTTGTCACTCTACAAGAATATCATCTCCAAGTTGGCCTACCTTCGTGCATCCATACCGTAAGGATTACGCTCACTGAAAGCTGCTCTGTCCATATACAGGATTTTAATTAGTACATGAGATCCTTAATGACCATACAACCTCTCAACTAATCCCGACATGAGACCTAAGTACCAATTCTGATTTTTTCCCATAACAAAGCTATCCTTTTATCACGACGCTAAAAAAAAAAAAAAAAAAAAAAAAAAAACGGTGACAAAAGAACACACACAAACCTACATAATTACGAACCGACCTCAAAGAACCATCACAAAATATCCCCCGAAACCGATCAATAATTGAAATGGAATGTCTTCATAAACTACTTTACCTTTTTCTTCTTCCACTACACTACCTCCCACGGATTCCCTTGATGTTCCACTGCTCATGTCACCTTCATTAACCCGCTGACAACGCCAAATGACCCCTAATTAGAGGAAATAACGTGACTGAGACGCGACACGAAATGA